TAAAGGGCACTATATGGATCACTAATATAAAGAGGCTTTTCTCCATTAACTGCCAACTACACTGAGCACAGATGCAAAGAGGCACAACGGTGACCACCAATGTAAGAGGGTACTACAGTAACCATCAATGTAAGGGGCACTACAATGACCACCAATGTAAGGGGGCACTACAATAACCACCAATGTGAGGGGTACCACAATGACCACCAATAGGTAAAACTACAATGACCACCAATATAAGGGGGAACTTCTCTACTGACCACCAATGTAAGGTAAAACTACAATGACCACCAATATAGGGGGGACTTCTCTACTGACCACTAATGAAAGGTAAAACTACAATAACCACTAATGTAAGGGCACTACGATGACCACCAATGTAAGGGGGCACTACAATGACCACCAATGTGAGGGGTACTACAATGACCACCAATATAAGGGGGGACTTCTCTACTGACCACCAATGTAAGGTAAAACTACAATGACCACCAATATAAGGGGGAACTTCTCTACTGACCACCAATGTAAGGTAAAACTACAATGACCACCAATATAAGGGGGAACTTCTCTACTGACCACCAATGTAAGGTGAAACTACAATAACCACCAATGTAAGGGCACTACGATGACCACCAATGTAAGGGCACTACAATGACCACCAATGTAAGGGGGCACTTTTCTAGTGACAACCAATGTAAAAGGGAACTTCAATGACCACCAATGTAAGGGGGCACTATAGTGACCTGTGACCACCAATGTAAGGGGGCACTTCTCAACTGACCATCAATGTAAGGAGGCACTACACCACTGACTACTGATGTAAATGGGGAACTTTTTAAGAGACTACTTTTTGTGTGACCACCAATGTAAGGAGGTCCTTCTTTACTGACCACCAATGTAGGTAGGCCGTACTCCACTGACCACCAATGTAAAGGTGCGCTTCCCAACTGACCACCGATATGTGGAGGTCCTTCTCTACTGACCACCAATGTAAGGGAACACTCCCACAATCACAGATGCAAGGGAAATCTGCTTTTTTCTTTCTGCGTCTTTCTTTATTTTCTGTCTTATAACATCATTATTACTGAAAATTATTCTGCTGTATAGGAGAGGAGGTCATTACAAAAATGACCATTCCACGGTGTCATACCCTAGGTAGGGCACTAGACTGTTCCCCACCAGTCACAGGAAATAATATCTGTGGCTTATGAATATCTGTGAGGTCTTCAGTAGAATGGTCGTCTTGTATGTTTTACTTCCTCTTTAGGCCTTTTCCAGTTCCTGACCTCTTAACACAAAATCCTGGCATTCAGAGAGCTACAAAACTCAAAGTTCACAGCGGATGATGTCACAGACACTCCGAGGGGAATCTAGGTAACCGCCGCCACTGGTATCCCCAACAATAAGGCAATTCAGTCCACCAGATGCGCATAATGAAGACCCAGACAGCCAGGACTATACGGGTTAAGTGACCGGTCGGAGTCACGGCTCTTCACTGTCAGTCTGTTTCCTCGCCTTCAGGAAAAATAGAAGGCAAGCCAGGAAAAGAATGTAGAAATATATGTAACTCTGGATTCTGATACTTTGTAGTTGTAAACTCTACTTGTGCTCCTTTATTTTGTAACATAGCCAAGATTCTGGTGGGAATTTTAATATGTGTCTAATCAAGGTGACACCTATGAGAAAACCTTATAAACCACTGGGAATTCCCAGCATGCTCTGGGCATAAGTGGTGGCGAAATTATTGGATTTTGCATGTGCTTAAAAGGTTACTCCATGGAAGCGATTTCAGTGAAGCTCCCTCATCACCTCCTCCCAATCTCATCTTCAGGACTTCTTCAGAGCCTCTCCCATCCTTTGGAACTCATTACCCCAGTCTGTCCAGCTGTCAACTACTCTGTCTGTCTTTAGGGGATTCCTGAAAACTCATCTCTTCAGGGAAGACTATCCCACCTCCACCTAAAAACTTGATCCCAGCTCTCTTTAAAGCTCTCTACATTGTTCCCAGCTCCCTCTAAAGCTCTCTACATTGTTCCCAGCTCTCTGTAAAGCTCTCTACATTGTTCCCAGCTCTCTCTAAAGCTCTCTACATTGATCGCAGCTCTCTCTAAAGCTCTCTACATTGTTCCCAGCTCTCTCTAAAGCTCCCTACATTGTTCCCAGCTCTCTCCAAAGCTCTCCACATTGTTCCCAGCTCTCTCTAAAACTCTTCACATTGTTCCCAGCTCTCTCTAAAGCTCTCCACATTGTTCCCAGCTCTCTCTAAAGCTCTCCACATTGTTCCCAGCTCTCTCTAAAGCTCTCCACATTGTTCCCAGCTCTCTCTAAAGCTCTCCACATTGTTCCCAGCTCTCTCTAAAGCTCTCCACATTGTTCCCAGCTCTCTCTAAAGCTCTCCACATTGTTCCCAGCTCTCTCTAAAGCTCTCTATATTGTTCCCAGCTCTCTCTGAAGCTCTCTACATTGTTCCCAGCTCTCTCTAAAGCTCTCCACATTGTTCCCAGCTCTCTCTGAAGTTCTCTATATTGTTCCCAGCTCTCTCTGAAGCTCTCTACATTGTTCCCAGCTCTCTCTAAAGCTCTCTACATTGTTCCCAGCTCTCTCTAAAGCTCTCTACATTGTTCCCAGCTCTCTCTGAGGCTGGGTTTACACACGGTTAGATTTTCGTAGGAACATTCATAGGAAAGATCTCATCAGAACATTCGATAATGCCATCAGAGACTTGACGAATGTTGTTCCAAATTTCGTTTGATCTCACCATTCGATTTTGGTATGAATGGAGTTTCCTGAAAATCACATTCACTGTTAGAATTCCATTTGTTTGGAAGAAAAATTTTCATCCTTCTTCAACTTTTTCCAGCACATTGGTCAAATTGACCCTATTAACTAGTATACCAGCTTCCTGACTACAGAATCTCCCACTGTTGGTGGAGGATTCACCATAACCAAATACAGTGGCGTCACAAGGTGGGTGCGGGGGGGTGCGGCCCGCACCCGGGTGACACCATTGGAGGGGTGACACCAAAATGACTGCCAGTCATTTTGGTGTCACCCCCATCTGAAAAGTCGGGCACTGGGTCAAGGACCGAGAACCCGACATTTGCTCGATAGAGAGAGAGCGAGGAGGGGACCCGGCGGCATACCTTATCCCGCCGGGGACGTCACGCACATACATAATGACGTCACTGCGGGGTGTCGCCCGGTACCGGCACCGGGTGTCAACCCGCCTCGGGACGCCCCTGACCAAAGAGATGCAAACGTGGAAGCAAAACAGAACATTGTGGAAATAACTATCAGATTCAAACAAATTGGCATGCACCCTGATACATATAAAGCAGGAGAAACTTTGTAAATGACAGAACTTTACACCAGAGAGTGATTTTGGAAAGTATAGGAGAGTGATTATAGAAAATAGAGTTATAGGTGGGGGTTTTAAGATCTATAAGCTCCTTAATAATGAATGCATGGAGGTATGTTTGATCTAGTATGATTTACTGCATGTTTAAAAGGTACACTATAAAGATTGAGAAAAATTGTATTCTGGTAACTATGTGGTTAATACCTGTAACGATACTATTCAGTATATGACATCCTTTTTTTTCACAGGTCTTTCTTCGCATTTACTTGCAGGCCAAGCTGTCCAGCAAAAGTAGCCGTTATGGGGGCTTTCAATGGTCACTTTTTTATTTATATGGTTTAAACCTTTTTTTTTCTAAAACAAGAAACCTGTTGTAACCCCACAACTCTGCCCCCGGCTATAACTCAAACCTGGTCTCAAAGTATCACCCTAACCGTCCCCTCCGCTCTTCAAAAGACCTTCTGCTTTCCGGTTCCCTCGTCAACTTCTCCCATGCTCACCTACAGGACTTCTCTAGAGCCTCTCCCATCCTCTGAAACTCTTTACCCCAACCTGTCCGACTACTCTGATTGCCTTTAGGCGATCCCTTAAGACTCATCTCTTCAGGGAAGCCTATCCCACCTCAACCTAACCACTCAACCATCACGTTCTCAAACAATTCATCCCCACACAGCTACCTCCTCATGTATCACTTCCCCCTCCCTTTTAGATTGTAAGCTCTCAGGGGCAGGGCCCTCCTTATCATCTTGTTTTGTATTGTATTGTGATTGTAATGTCTTCCTTATATTGTAAAGCGCTGCGAAAACTGCTGGCACTATATAAATACTGTATAATAATAATAATAACAATAATAACTGCTTAAAAGTTTTAGCTGTAGTTTGGTTTTGAATTGTTTGGGGTTGATTTAATAAGGCATATAGGATTTTCACTTTGCACGGGAAGTTTCCCTTAGTTTGGTGAATGTGGTATAATTTCACTTTTGCAAAGAATACCCAATCATGTGCAAGGCAAATTTTTTTTATTTTTGTTTGCACTTGATTGGATGATGGAAGCCAGCAGAGCTTCCCCTCATTCGCTAAACTAAGAGGAAACTTCTCCTGCAAAGTGCAAATTCCCTTGCAAAGTGAACAGCCTATTTGCCTTCAGTAAATCACCCCCCTTGTCTATTAAAACCCTGTCCACAGGGTGACAACACCACTGCTGTGCAATGTCATTGCAGAATTAACAGTGTTGGCATCCTGCTAAAGGAAGTGGAACAATAATAGACCCACTGGCAGGATCAACAGGTAATGGAATTATGTTAAGGGGAAGGGTGCAGAAAAGCAAACTTTGTATGACTGACTGTTTTTGACTCAGTCCCACTGCTCTATTTTAAGTCCTGTGCTGAGCCCTTCCATGTACACTTTTTCTGCATCTCCCTTTGCCTGAGTGTCAATCGTAGATTACTAAGAAGGTGTCAGCTCAGCTGAATAAGACCAGAGGACAGCAAAGCAAAAGTTAATCATGATTATACAACATTCTGAGCCCATCAGGACTAACAATGAGCTATCCTTAGTAGGCTTGCTCTTTAAGCGTTTGCAATGCTCTCTAGGACTTCAGCTACTGTCATGCCATTGGGTGTTGCTGTCATCTGAGAACTCACCTAACGTGGACAACTTCTGGACGGATTCATTGCAGGGCAGCTCGCACCCAGACAATATCCCTAAGAGAAGGACCACCAGTGAATTCAGCCGGTCCTCTATCTTGCTCAGGTTGAGTTTGCTCTCCTCCTGCAGCTTCTGGAGCAGCGAAGTCACTGACTGGACGTTGGTCTCCAGCGAGTTGAGCCTTTCACCCACACTCTTGGACTTTGGGTTCTGGGGCTTGCTGCTTCCTTCAGTCTGCTTGAGGGTCTGCTTGAACTCTTGGTTGGGTTCTTGGTGGACTTCCTTGAGTTCCTCAGGTGTGGGCTGCTCGTCAGGTAGGAGGTAGTGGAGCTTGCAGCCCTGAGGTCCATCACAGTTGGCGTCTACTTGAGGCATGGCCACGAGATGCTCCAAGCAAGCCGGGTCCTCCCGTCTATTGATGCAGTCGGAGCTGTCAGCCGGGGACACCTCAACATCTTGCAGAAGGAACAGCAGGGTGATCCACAGCATCTCTTCTCCAAGCCGGTAACTCCCAGGAGTTGCAAGACTACAGCCTATTCCCCCCCACCACAGCATCCAGCATGAGCTGACTGAAGCAAACAACCTGTGCAAACTCTCCTTGACTTTTACAGGTCTCTCTGTATACAATTCATTACAGGCTGGGAAATCCTGAGAGAGCTTCAAAGCAAATGAAGACAGTGGATGAGTGTGAGGCATGCACCAGACAGGAGGGGGCTGGGGAGAGGGGGGGGGGGCATGAGGGGAGAGGAGGGCCTGGAAAAAAAAAAGTCTTCTATAAAGAACACTTGAAGCTTAGATTAGCATCTCGCATCCCTTGAAGAACACCCTTGGTTGTGTCTAGGTGAACGGCCGGCGTGTCATCATTATTGTGCGAACCCTTTTCTCAGCCTGCAAAGACTTGAGTGGAAGGGCTGGGCCCCGGAGTATAAAACAATTAACGAGGGTATAGCCCACATCTATATATATTTTTTTATGGTACACAAGTGAGAGGGATGGATGTAAAGCACCTTGTAAAATAGAGCGTCAGATCTGGAGAGCCGAGGTGTCATTCCTGGAAGACAGAACTTGTATTTGCAGGGCGATTATGTCACTTTTGCCAAACAGAAATTAAAGTTTAACTCCGGAGGGATTTCATCTTTATAGTTTTGGATAAAGCGGGTTTAAGGATCACCTTACATACAAAATACGATACATTTGCTTTAAAGAGAACCTGTCGCCAGACCTTTCGTTTAACAACAGTCTTCCCATATCATTATAAGTGAATTTAATGTATTAAATTCCCAAACACACACACACACTCCACCGAGCAGTATATTCTTACCTTTCCCTTGCTACCCCGCTGCTCCGTTCAGCAATGGAACCTGAAGGACATACCCTGTATGTCTGGGTATGGAGGAGCATGTGACTCATTCCATGTGTCATCACGATGGTCAATAAAGGAGATTGACTGTTATTTGCAATGGAGTGTGAGTGACTTTTGAGCTTGTTATGTTTGATATGCGGAGGCATTCGCAGTCACTTCCAGCACCCCCCCTAACTTTCTATGTGGGTTGATCCGGTCAGGAGTGCGATGGGATCTACTACACCTTGAGTCATTCCATGTGACAACGCCGGACCAATCAGTGCTCCCACATGGGAAGTACTCAGCCATGTGTAACCTGCAACTTGTAGCCATACATTTGCAATGGCTGAACTGAAAGGTGGGGGAGAAAAAGGAAGATAAGGCTATGTGGGTTATGTGTCAGTGGAGATCTGATGTATGTGTTACAAAACATTGTCTAGCCTGTAAAGCAGGGGTGCCCAACTCCGGCCCTCCAGCTGTACTTTGACTACATATCCCAACATGCCTCTGCCTCTGGGGGGTCATGCCTGTTACTGTCAGTCTTGCAATGCCCCATGGGACTCTTAGTTCCACAACAGCTGGAGGGTCTTAGTTGCCCACCCTTACTGTAAAGGAACACAGTTAAAATGTATCTAAACCCAAGAACAAAAAATGTAACATATTGCAGCTTACCAGTCCTGAGATGTGGAATGCATGGGGAATTTTATTCTAAAGGTGAACTAACCCTTTAAATTTGTTAATATATTAGAGATCTAAAGCAATCTGATACTGGAAATCATAGAAAAGTTTTTGATTGGAAAGAAAAAACTCATCCAGCCGGAGAGGAAGTGACCCATGCAAGCGAGTGTCTCACTCCCACCAGCAGCAGGATCGTAAATCTGACATTAGCCTTACTGGTCCAACCATGCATCTACTGACCCATCTATGCATCTACTGGCCCAACCACGCATCTACTGGTCCAACCACGCATCTACTGGTCCAACCATGCATCTATTGACCCATCTATGCATCTACTGGCCCAACCATGCATCTACTGGTCCAACCGTGCATCTACTGACCCATCTATGCATCTACTGGCCCAACCATGCATCTACTGGTCCAACCGTGCATCTACTGACCCATCTGGGCATCTACTGACCCAACCTTGCACGACTGAGCACCTTGCTGCATTTCCCAGGGAGTGACAGCTGACCTCTGGCTCCTTGCTGTGGGCATTGGCTCCACATTTGCTTCAGTTTTTGACAAAATGAAAAAAAAAGTCTCCTCGGGAACACAGGTGGTGTTCTATCCCTTGTGAGGTCTCTTCAATCAACAGCTCCGGAGGAGAAGAGTTTGATCTGTCGCTGGTACCTTTAATCACTTCACTTCCTCTACACATGAGAGACAAACACAGCCTAGTGTCTTCTCTGTGACTTCCCATTGTGGCCTCCGCTTTCATCTCCGCTGACATCTGTCCGGGCTGATAGCGGGGCATAGCAGAACGGAAGGCTGAGCCTTTAACTCCTCCTGTACCCACCTGATGATTGAAGTGTCTCAGAAGCCAAAACATTTTTATTTACATTTTTTAAAAGGGTAGGGAAGGGTTATAGCCCGGTTAGTTATATTTTTTGGATGTTTGTGACACTGTATGTGTCTGTTGGGGAGATTTTAATTTACTTTCTGTCCTGGAGACACAACAGGAAGTAAGCTGAAATTGCCCCTAGTGTGGAGAAGACAGTTTGTCACTCAAACAGGTGTCCCCATTGGAAGATTTCCCTTCATTTCTTGTTCTGGAGAAAACTTTAAAATGTTGGACTTCCCATCAATTTCTGTCTCGGTGACAATGGCCACCAAGACGGACAACGACTAGAGATGAGCTTCTGGTGCGGGATAACCGTGAGTTCAACCCGAACCCAAGCTGTTCACCGTTTGACGAACGATTTGGACAGTGTGCCCATCCGCCGAACCTCCGTCTAGCAACCAATAACCACCAGCATCATTGGCTGACTTGTGGCTGACCTGAACAACGTAATTGGTTTGCTAGGATGCAGGCGTATGCACTATAACAAACTATGATGCTGTGGGTCCACCAGTGTCTTAGCAACCAATGATGAGTGATGGCCACACAGGAACATTGGTTGGCAAGACACATGAAGGCCTGGGTTTGGTTTGCTTACGTTTCTGGCTGGGTTTGGCGAAGATAAGAGTGAAATGAACCCAGGTGAGTTCGCTCATCACTAATAGAGAGGGGAAATGTATCTATCAAGGTTCTTAGGAAAACCCAACATGTTTTGGGGGTACAGAAGGCTAAATCAAATACCCCTTATTTCCACATGGGCAAAAAGGTTGTTTTCTTAGCAGTTGTAAGACGTATAGCTAAAAGCACAAATGGACTTCACGGTAGGCATCTGTCACAATAACCATAAATTAGAGCTTCAGCCCTCTGGGTTTTCAGGTTAAAAAGTAGCACATGACGCCCCATTTTCATGGCATTGCACTGCAAAGCAGAAATAGCTGTCTTAGTAACAAAAAAATACAACCTCTGCCCTTGGGTATATATGGGTAACATTTTTGAGTTAGCCCAGCCATAGTACTACATTCACACAGCAGCACCAACAAGCCTGAAAGGTCAAACAGAAGACCCTAAAACACCTTTTATTCAACACTTTTGTTTTGTTTTTTAACGTTTATTATATATGTATTAATTCATTTTGTTTTGGGAGGGGGGGGGGGGGGGTGGCTTGACGGTTGC